TTCTTCTGCAGAAACTGTTCTAAAGTCAATTTCTAAAACAAATAGCACTTTGCACGCGCGTTCAACACCTTACCTTGGTTGTTTACTTCAAATAGTTAATATATATAGGCCGATCGTGTGCAACACGTGTACCTACGTTACCTCGCCGGAATAATACATCTTAGAACAGCAGTTGTTGTGGTGACGTTCATTTCACTAATAACATTAGCACAACCAACGCCAGCGATGACATCTTGGTGAAAGAGCCGTGTGACGCTCTCAAAAAGGACTCTTTGGATGCGTTTCGAATAAACACCAGCTGTAACGTATTCGCGCCTCGTTTTAGTCCGTCTGTTTTGTGAGGCAGCCCGGGAAAGTAGTATCTATTTTTGTTTCCTATGCTAGGAGCTGCTGTGTGCCCCACAGTTCACTTGGTACTACTAGCCCCGAGAGCGAACACAAGCGTCGCTGCGGTCGCCGCGCCCTTATTGGGTGACGTGTAGCGTGACGTGAGGGGTAGGACTCCGCTCCGCGATCTCGCATCCGGCTCGCTTCTTTGCATCTTTGCACCGGTTTCCTGGTTTACCGTTGTGTGCCGCAAGCACTTCGAGGAGCGGGACCTCGCTTACTCGATGTACAAGACGTTGGGTTAGTCCGATATTGACGTGCTTCTGTACATTTTATTGGCCAGCTTTTCACTTTTACCTCTATAATTGGGTTACAAATCCCGAAAGCTATCGGCAGAGGCAATTCCGCCTATAAACCTCCCCGTCCATCTACACGTGCACGACACAAGGCAATCTTGCGAGGGGTCGGTGAAGCGACGGCGTAATTGTTTCATACGCTGGAATTCTGTTCCTCGCATGTTCATGATTTAGGAGAATATTACATCCCGCTCTGCAGGCATTTGAAATGGCATTTATATATACGGCCTTTGGTCGGTCGGCAAATTAGCTCGCGACCCCAACTCTGCGCGTGCTACTCTGCATGCTCTGGTTCGCTGATGTTTTAAGGGCCCTGGGTCTGAAGGCCTTTGAAGTGCTCATTGAACAGAACAAGAAGCAAATAGATGGCGCTATGGAGAATCGTGGAACAGAATTGGTTTACATAAATGCAGCTTCTTCCTGAATTAATGATATAGTTCATACATGTATGCAGGCATGTTTTATTTTTTAGAAGATGCAAAATTACTGGAAATTAGTTTCTATGGTAGCAGGAAAAAGTGTCGAATTGTCCCCCGTTCCTTGTATGAGATCTAGTGAACCCCCCAAAATATGCACAGCAATAGTACTGTAATTTGGAATGTTTACACTTTTCCTGACATTCTTCCTTTATTCCATCCTTAAATACTCGGAGAATACACCGTATAGTGAATTGTCATTTTCAATTAAAAGAGACACTGCTGCAGGTCCCCAAAAGCTTCCTCAGCTTCCAAACTCTCTACAGCTGAACTCTCTGACAACGGAGGAAAACAGGAGGAACAGCATGCGTTCGAACGGCTGTCCAGTGTTAGATGCAGCACTAGATAGCAGAAAATGTGGAGCCTGCGAAGGGTGACAGTTACCATGAGAGAAGCTCTGGTATTTTAGCTTCGTCAGGACAATTTGATTCAGCTAAAATCTCAAATTCAGAGCCTAAAAAACTATTGACGGGCTAGACACCTTCGCTTACGTTTGTTGTACATTACTTGAGGGATAATATAAACAAGTTGACAGATGCCACCAGTGGAGTCCATTGAAATACAATTCGAATCTAAGAAAGGTCAAATGCGAGCAATGCATTTAAATAAATTCTCGTCCTTTCTTTATTTTGCCCCTGTAGCTGGAATGTCTCACTTGTGATTCTTTCTCCATGGCCCAGACTGTATTTAACATGTTGCTCGAGCAGCATGCAGCTTTTCTGCTTCGGTGATCTTGTTTAAAAACAGATACAAATAAAACGAAATAGTATACAGACCCTGCTAATTCATTCAGATCATCAGCAGCATTTATTGTGAGAGATGTCAATCTATAGTGATGCTCCTGCAATTATGGCCATATTTTTTTATTTTGATACACCAGTTGCGATACATGCTTTGCCTAGTTCCCTGTCAACCAGGTCTGAAATGTTGGTTGAAATTTCGCCTGCAGCTCCTGGCCATACCCCAATAAAGCCACATATTAAAATTTACACCTCCTACGAAAAGCACGCACAATAAAATTAAATAGAAATGAGCGCGCCGGCAGCTAACGTCGTTACAAACTCCACAGGGCGAGCGGGGTGAGACGGGGTCAAGCTCTGTCCTCGCCGTGACGCCACCCCGGTTCGCCGTAAGGGGGCGCCACACGAACTTTTCGGGGCTAATAAACAAAAAAAGTACAGTCCGGCATGCAAAATTCCCATTCCGTAGACCGAGCTTTTATGCCGCTTAGTGTAAAACAAAAACAGCACGTTACTTTGTTGTGGTTGATTTGTGTGTGGGATCCCATGACTGACCCAATAAGTTAGGTGCTCTACTTTCTCTGACATTTTATGAATATTTCACAGCGGTATAATACCTACCTGTAATATAGTCTCAAAGCTAATCACCATCAACATTATGCATGCACTCGAACACAAAAAACGCAAAAACAAAAGTAAGAAAAAAAAAAAAGAATAAGGAGCAAATTATCGATTTTTTCTTCTTTTTTTTTTTGTCGAAATGCTCTATGAATGGAATGCATTATTTCAGGAGTGATCGTTGACATCTATTTAGGTCGCATTAAACAGTCATATCGGGGAATGACAAAGAACATATTTTTTATTAATTTGTCCTTTTAGTTTTTATATGTTCGATTTTTATATGTTTAAATGTGAGCTGAAACTGTGTCGTGTTTTTATTTTCGCTGTGTTTATGCTGTTTTTTCACTGAGTTCTTATTATTTTTGTAGTTCCACAAGTGGGAACTTTTATAACACTTTTAGAATAAGTTCGGTTCATTTTATGCCTGGTGCTATTGTACAAATATTTTTAAATATCTCTCACGGCCTTCAAGATGAGGCTGGCAGAATTGATAACTAAATTTTCATAACATTGCTCCACAACAATGGCGTGTACGCGCTATTTATGTTTCACGATAACTTGGCGAACTGGGGAGGCTTCGGGCACTCAATAAGATTGTCACGGCAAAGCACGTGACACCACTTCACGGGAGCGTTTGTGTTGACCATGGAGTGGTCACGCGCCTTGCTCTGACGCTCTTGTTCGGCCGCGGCGGCCGTAGCCTTGACAGTTCGCCAAGTTATTGTGAAACAGAGTATAGTGGTACATCTACCAAGTCGTCGAGATTTTGAACGTACTAAAGGAAGCATGGAATAAATTTTTGGGCCGGGATAAATCGTATTAGTTTGGAATTTTACTAATCGCATATTGTTTAGTGAGCCAAAAGAAAGAGGATAGAAAGTAAAAAAGTCTGCTTTTCGGTACGAAAGTTTGAAAATATAGCGGACTATTTCTTACCTCCTTTCCTTCGGAAGCTTGCCGCCTTTTCACTGCGATGCATCCGCGTTGCCCAAGCACGTCGGCCGAACCCAGCTCACGCATTGGCCACGAGCACTGGGTCACTCGGAGAGTCGGACGTATCCGCTCCTCAACAATCAACCCGACGACGAATATTTCGATTCGTGTTCGTGGCCACTGTTGTTCAAACGTATTTATGGATTGGAAGGATTACATAACAACTTCTTGAGTTAGATTATCTAATTGCAATGAGGGTAGGGAAAAAAGGTGTGGGAGGAAGGGAGAGGGGAGTAAATGTGCCTAGTGACCACTGACGAGTGTACCAAACTGATCAGAGAGTCGAGGATGTGTTTCCTGTGAGGGTGTCCGAGGATCACGTGGGTCCAGGCTTCGTACGACACTGGTCTTGCCTATTGCGGGAGCTTGATGAGTGCTTCGTTTCTGTGCTGCGTAACCCCGGCACAGTCCCTCACGAGGTAGAAACACGTAGCCGGGATCCCGCATAGCGTACAGTTGGGGTCGTGTGGTGGATCGTCCGGACCACTTGGTCGGTGGAACTTTGTTTGCCACAACGGGATTGGCTGTCTTGGGATGAAGCCCTCTGTTGCTAACTCGCTCTCATCTGCTGTAACCATAGTGGAATCGGGTGGAACTCTGAAGTAAATGGCGTGCAGCCTAGTTTTTCTGGCCTTTCTGTAATCTTTCTGGCTTTTCTCTGGATTAGGCGGAACTCCTTGGTCATCTGCGTGGGGGTCAAGGTGGCCTTGTGAGGTCAAGGTAAGTAAGTGAACATAGCCGAGCCTTCGTGGCCTCCTTCGCCCTCTCATTTCAGAAGATATCCTCGTGCTCCTGGTTCCACGAACCGCTGATGTCAATATTAGGTTGTCTTTTTATTCGGGCACTTGATTTGCAGTGCAAACATCAATTTTGCTCTTGCCACGGCGGCATTCTTGAATGGATTCTTTTGAATATGTAAAGACGAACTCATTAGTGATGCGTGGTGGTAGTGTGCGTGCGGCTACTAGTCTAAAGCCTGGTTCAGCCAGTTGCGTATGACTGCGTTTGACTGCGTTGCGGCTGCGAGAAACCAGGACATTACTGCTGCTTATATCACGTGCCAAGATGATTCCATGAATATGATTCCACGTTTCATACAAAGCACAGATGTGCCTGTGACTGTCTTTCGGTTCTCGACGCAACGCAGTCAAACGCACTCAAACGCTATAGTGTCAATTCAATTCAATGTTTATTTGATGAGTTGAAGAGTTTGGTCCCATATCCTGGGACCGGCTACTTCAGATCAAGTAATGTACAGTATGAATGATGAATAACATCCAAATATAGAATGATAACACCATGAATAATACTCTCAGTTGCCGTACACGCACAAAAAAAAAATACACGGTGAGAGAAGCGATTACGCAATAAATACATATGTACATATGTACAATAGATTACTGTAACATAGTAATAAACTTACTATAAAAAAACGCAGTTATCTTTTAAGGGCGCGTTGTGCGTGTTTTGACCTTCGTATGATATACCTAATATCTGTAAACTATCTTTGTGTCAGTAAAAAAATCACGTAGTAAAGTTGATGCCCTCTTCTGGCTTTTTAAGTCCGGCCAAGGTCCTAAAACTTTGGCCAAAGAAAAAGAGCGATTGTCGAGTATGCTTAGTCCAACTCGTAATCGAGTTCGCCACTGGTCGTATCTGGGACAGTCCATTATTATGTGCTCGACGTCTTCCACGGGGTGGCCACACGTGCAGCTCGGTGTTTCCACCTGTTGAATTCGGTAAAGAAATTTGCCGGTGTACGCAACATTTAGTCGTAGGCGATGAATTAGTGTTTCAATAGGTCTGCTCAAGTAATTATGGACTGGGCACCGAAGGTCTGGGTCAATTAGAAGGAGTAGGCTCTGTTCCGAGATGCTCTTGAGCCATGTGTCAGGGGACATCATGTTTCTCAGACAACGAATGTACCGCTTGGCATCGCTTTTTGTAAAAGGTGTGAGCTGAACGTTGTTGCTTGTATATGCATCCGTAGCCAGTTGGTCAGCTTGGGTGTTTCCTAAAATACCGCTATGTGCAGGAACCCATTGAAGGTGTACCGTATGTCCAATCCTTATTGCTTCCCCAAGTTCTTCACAAATTCGGTACACAAGAGCCATATTTTCGTTGCGAGTGTTCAGGGTATTAATGGATTGTAGTGCTGGCTTGGAGTCCGTACATATAACCCAGGAATTCGCTGTCGAGCTATTTTTGATGTATATTGCAGCCGCAAGTAAAGCATGCAATTCTGCGGTAGTTGAAGAAGTATGATGTGACAACCGAAAGGATGACGAATGGTTGAACTGGGGTACCACAAATGCTGATGTTGATCCTTCATCCTTGGTTGATCCGTCGGTATACACGTGGATGTTGTCGTCGTATTTATGCTGTAGATGTGCAAGAGTCAATGTCCTTGCAACGTGTGTATTGACCGAGGCTTTTGTTTCCATGCCTGGAATGTTCATGTGGACGTCTAGTAATGGTAGCTTCCATGGTGGCTTATGAATGTCCTGAACCCAGTGTGTTTGTTCAGGGATTAATAGGGGCACGAAATTTAGTGTTCGAAGACAGTTCGTCCCTTTGCGAGAAAGAATTTCAATAAAAAGTGGCCGCGCAGAAAGTCTAAAAAAATTACGACATACTTCCTGGATTCTTAGGATAGTTACTGGTGGTTCTTTGGCTGTAGCGAGTACAAGCGCACTGGATGTTGCTCGCGGAAGACCTAAGCACACTCTTAGACTTCTTGCAAGTATATAAGTAAGGCGAGCTTCTGATGTGTTGGAAAGCCCCTGTAACACAGGTATAGAATAGGCAATTGCCTGTCGCACTAGCGCTGTGTGGAATGAAAGCATTGAGTCAATTGAGGCTCCCCATTTTGCACCCGCGATGCATCGAAAAACATTAATTACACTATTAATTCTCCCCTCCAGCATATCTATATGTTTGGACCAAGTCAGGGATTGATCCAGTAGGACGCCAAGAAATTTGTATGATTGAACTCGCTGAATTGAGTCTCCATTTACATTAAGTTCGAAACCAGGAAGCTTTTTTCTGGTAAATGGTATAAATGCAGATTTTGTGGCAGATAGCTCCATTCCTCGTTCTCTTAAAAAATTGTTTGTCGTGTCTAAGGCTACCTGTAATTGATTCTTTAAAATATCTGGGGACGAGCCAGAGATCCAAATACAAATATCGTCAGCATATATAGATATTCGTAAAGGTGGCTGGAGTTTCTGCGGTAACTGCGCCATTACGACATTGAAAAGAGTAGGGCTCAACACGCTACCTTGGGGTACTCCATGGTGGAGCTCATGATGCTTGCTGTCTCCATCATTTGTACACACTACAATGCTCCTGCATCGAAGAAACTCTTGTATCCAGCGGAGCATGCGTCCATGTACACCAAGAAGCACAAGTCCTTCAAGAACATGTGCGTGACTAACCGTATCAAATGCTCGGCGAATATCTAGGAACACTGCCACTGTAATGTTTCCGTTATCTCGTTCGTACTCTACACAGGTGGTCAGGTCTAAGATACCATCCATTGTGCATCTACGTGGACGAAATCCTGTAATTTCTTCGGGAAACGCTTTACTAGTTTCCAACCACCACTGTAAGCGGTTATGTAAGATCTTCTCGAGCAGCTTTCCGACGCAACTGGTTAAACTTACAGGGCGGAAGGAATCCAGGCTCAGTGGTGATTTCCCAGGTTTTAAGAGCGGAACTATTTTAGCTAACTTCCACGATTCCGGTATTGTCTCTGTTTTCCAAACTTGATTGTATATTTCGAGAAGAGTGCTGGTGGCATCAGGGCCGAGATTTGCTAGTGCATCGTAAGTGATCTTATCGAGACCAGGAGCTGTAGACTTGCGGGTGTTGTGAAGCCCACAAAAAATTTCACGTATGTTGATTTCATGATCTAGCTCTGCATGCACTAGATGCCTCTTGTTCTCGAGGGTACGAGTAGCCTGCGTCTTGGAAGATTTGTATTGGGAAGTTGTTACCACATCGCTTTGTTGTGCTAACAGAGCGCAAAATTCATCCGCGATTGTTACTTCCGATACGCCCCTCAGAAGCGCTAGCGCGCGGAAGGGTTGTTTTTGCATAACAGGCGTGCGAAGAGAACGAAGTATTTTCCATACTATTGGAATCGGTGTGAAGGGGGTCAGATTGCCGCTGAACTTCCTCCATCGGCGGACTGAAAGAATTTGCAGCTCTCGACGCATGAGCTTTTGAATATGTTGGGCCTGGTTATAGTCTTCAACATCTCCTGATCTTCTATAGCGGAGCTCTGCTCTTCGTCTTTCTGCGCGTAGCTTTTCGTATTCACCATTGACACCAACGTGTCCGTTAGGTACAGGTACAAGACGCGTTGCCCGTTCGTAACTAAGCAAGATCGAGTTCGCAAAATCATCGGGCTCTTTCAAATTGGTATGTCTTAAAGTATTTAAATGTCTGAACATCTGCCAGTTTGTTATCCGTGCTCTATGTTGCTGCCCACGAATATTAAGAAGAGGGTGTTGTACGAGAATGGGAAAATGGTCGCTACCTCGGGTTTCCCTGTCTGTCATCCATGTCATTTGAGGTGAAATGTCTGGAGAACATAGAGTCAGGTCTAAACAGCTGCAGTAGGTAGGGCCACGAACAAAGGTCGGCGATCCGTCGTTGAGGACGCGTTATACTTGTCCACATACTCGGCAATGACATTTCCACGTCGATCGCAATGGTCACTCCCCCACATTGTGTGGTGTCCATTGAAGTCTCCACATATAATAAAAGGAGCAGATACGTGACGAAATATTTCAGAAAACCCAAATGAAGTTATTGGAGTTTGCGGTTCGATGTACACGCTCACAACTGTAACTGAAGACTTACCACACCGTACTTTGCAGGCGACGAATTCTGGACTATCTTTCGTAGAAGAGGACAGACGTATTGATACCAGATCTTTCTGTACAGCTAGCATCGCTCGACTTTGACCATTTTGACGAGATGATTTGTACTGCACGTAGTTTGAGAGGCGAAAGTCGTCGTCCACGCGAGCTTCGGTTAATGCAAGTATCGGTATGGTGTTCTTTTTAAGAAATTGACGAAAATCACCAGACTTTTGCCGTAATCCGTTGGCATTCCACTGAAATATTCCTATATGGCTGTACAAATCAGGCATTGGAATACTCTTCGTTCATCGATGTTCGTGAAGACTTAAGTAATCTTTCCATAGCGAATAAAGCTGTTACCTCAGGAAGATTGTTGGCTGCGGGCACGGCGCTGAGTATGGCCCTTAGAGCCGTAAAAAACATCGGTACTAGCAAATGCGAGACGTCGCTCGATTGCCGTGTTTCAAAGTAATCCTGTCGATGATCGCGTCTGCGTATATCACGCTTCTGTGTGCGGGGTGCTGGCACAGGGGAGAGGTTTGATGCTCGGTCTCCTGGAGGCGTTTGACCATGTATCGTCGAGTTTAGGTGAGATGGAGTCTTGAAGTTGATCTGGGCGTTTAGTTGGCGTTTTAACACGTCAGAATACTGCGGCCTTTGAGGTCGTTGAGATACTTGTGTCTGCTTTGATGATGTAGAGGGACGAGGGGGAAGTGGAGGTGGGCGAGAAGGTGGTAGAGGAGGCAGCGGGGTGCGTGTGACCTCAAGATTCGGGGAAGGATAACGGTTATTTTGTATTGGTCCATTTAGGATTTCATGTTTTCTGGCTGCAGCTGCTGCCTTTTTGTGAGGACAGCCTGAAAACGAAGCGCAGTGATTGCTTCCACAATTTGCACACTTTGGATTAGTTTTGTCCATGCAGTCCTTGTAGCTGTGTGGTCCAGCGCACACCTTGCATCTCTGTTGGCCGCGACAGTGTCTTGCGAGATGCCCATGTCGTTGGCATCGAAAGCACTGTACCGGGGTTCCAAAGTACTCCATCACAGGATGACTGGTGAAGCCCAATAGGACCCGTGCAGGCATTTGGTGATTCTGTGGAAAGTGAAGAAGGACACTTTCTGTTGGTTGTTGCTCCATGCTGCCGTCTTCTTTTCTTGAGTATGCAATTTGTCGTTGGACTGCGATGACACCGGCGTCCTTCAGGTAGTCTAGCAGTTCGTAGTCTGAGTATTGGACAGGAATGTTGTTGACCTTGCCAACATTGCGCGTGTATGACTCGGACACGGTCACTGTCACGTCTATTCCGACAAGAGATTTCATCATAAGAAGCCTGTTCGTTGAGTTCAGCGTCGCCGTGTTGACCGTGATTGTGCCATCTTTCCTTATGCGAGGTGCTAGTAATTTCTCTTGGTATACTGTTACGATTTCTTTTGCTATTCTGTTGGGGTTGAATTTCCAGAACGAGGTTCCCTGTTCTTTTGGCTTGATAATCAGTGGGATTCCGGCGGGGCGATTTTTCCGCACTGTGACTTGAGTGAAGTCGTCTTCGTCTCCAGGAGTGCCGTCATGAAACGAGTAGTTGGATGTCCTGTCGTCGTCCATTTGTTCCGAGGGAAGATTCACGCACTGTTTCTTCAATGGAATGTCGTCATTGATGTCTTTAGCCGGCAGTTGAGGTTCTTGTAGTGGTTGACGCGCTTCCGCTGCAGAAATGTGGCTCGTAGTCGCGACGGTATCCATTTGAGCGTCCGAGGTCAATGTCTGGTGGATCGAGTCATTGGAGCGGGGCAACTCTGTCGCAAGTGGTCGCTTTTTAGGCGGCAGGGTTGTGCCCGGTAATAGCCCCGTAGGGACCAGTTACGAAAAAGAATGTTGAAGTAGCCAAATTGAGCAGATTAGCATAAAATTTCAGGCTTACAGGAAGAGCGGCAGAAAATGGTGCTGGCTATTCCAATCGTCGTCGTCGTTTTTCGCTATAGTGTCTGAACTGGCCTTTATACGTGTCGCCTTTCGAAGTTAAGTTACTTGTTGTTGAGTGCCAGTCTATAGCCATGCGGCCTGCATCTTCTCTTGCGGCGTCGGTGTGTATATTTTGACTTCCCTTCAATGTTGTTTCAAATGTTTAAAATGCATGCTTGACAGTGTGCTTGCAGCGTCCCTTGTGTTCCGCGCCTTTGCTCTTGGGTATCGGTTTGATAGATGATATTCACTCTTTTTTCCAATGTAGGGGAACTCGTGGTACGTCTCTATGTGGGTCCAGGCTTTTCTAGTCTGCCTAATTTTTGTAGTCATTCGTCCATGTTCTCTCTTGGATAGCCTCTTTACCTGGCTTGTGACCATTTTGTTTGCATTGTCTCGGTTGTTATTGATTTGGGTTACTGCTTCACCTTGGTTTACTGGAATCATCTTGGGGCGACCTGTGATGATTTTCATAACAGACCTAATAAGAACGTTGAGTTTTTGAGTGATTCTTCCTGCCTCTTAGTTAGGCGAAGGTGGCATGGGCCGTAGACCGCCTTCGAGGCGAGAAAAAATCTGACGAGTGTACGTAAATAATTTTTCTGAGCTCCCCACGCCTTGCTCTTGATCTTCTTGAGCAGATTTACGCCGTCGGTTCACTGGGACTTGGTTTGCTTCACTCAGCTCGTGGCTCCGCCGTTCTGGTCAAACGTTACGCCGAGCATCTTGGGGCTCTCAGAAACTGTGAGCGGCGCTACGTCGATCTTGAATTGGACTTGGTTGTCAAATCTACGTCGTGCCTTGGAGAGAATCATCTAGGATGTCTTCTAAACCGAGAGCTGAACCACTGACTGTTTTGCAAAGGCGTTGGTGACGTCGAGCGCTCTTTGCTTGTTTGTGTGTAGTATCTTTGCCAGCCTTTGGTCATACAGAGACTGACTTCGTCCGCGTAAACTGAGATGCTGACGTCCGGGACGACCTGCAGTGCAAAGGCGAGATCTGCCATTGCCACATTCAACAGCATTGGTGTGATCACTGCTCCCTGCGGTACACCGGTGTGGCGTTTTTTCCCATGGGGCTTCTAGTCCTCCCAATGACTACTTGATAGGCCCTGTTCTTCAGGAAGATTTTAATCCTTTCTGCGCCGTTTCAATGACCGTCTTGAGCGGGATGGTATCGAATGCCTTCTTGATATCTATAGCAACCCTTGTGCGTGGCTGCGCCTTAAACAAGGGTTTCTCAAAGACGTCGCGGTTGATCATTGCGAGGCTGTCTTGGGTGGACACGTTGGGTCTAAAGCCCGTCTGCATAGGGTGAAGTCGTTTCTGGGATTGAAGTGTCCACTCTAGGCTGGTCGGGACCATGCTCTCGAGGAGTTCGCAAAATTTTGAGGCCAACGAGATTGGTTACAAATTTCGGATGGCGTTCGAATGTTTGTCAGGTTCTGGGATAGCCAGAGTTGTAGAGCTTTCTATTCTACTGGAATTTCTCCATAGTTTCAAATCTCGTTGAATTGTTGCAGAAGTTCCTTAGTCTCTTCGGTTGGGAGGTCCCGAAGTGCCGCGACTAGAGCGTTGCACGGATAACAGTTTGATCACCCGGATCCGATCCGCATCCGAAGACCTTGTATCCGCACTCGAACCGCATCCACAATGTTCTTAAAATATTTTATTCAATCCGCATCCCAACCGCATCCGCTAAATTCGGAGCCCTGTCCGACCTGCAATCCGCGCATTCATGTTACATCATGAAATCAAGCGCAAATGAAGCAAAGAAGCGTCTGGATGGTACTTTATACGCCGTTTGCTTATCTTTGTACAAAGTACTCTTCGAGTCAAAATACGATGAATGTTGTGTAATCGTAGTGTTTTATCGTATTTGTATTATCAGCGATCGTTCTTCCAGATATCCTTCGCATCGCTAGAAAGATTATCGCAGTTATGACATTTTCCTGGCATTCAGCAAAAAAAAAAAAAAAGTGTAAGTTTATTTTCCTTTGTAACATTCATTTTAAGCAGGCGAGTATTTCATAACCATTAAAATTACTTATATACAGTAAAATAACATTATTTTATTTAGGTCAAACAATAATACGGTGGGAGAGGAAAGGCGGTCACTCACCGCAGCGAAGTAATCGTATATACTTGGTAAGACGTGAGTACATCTCCGGGAAAATATGACAATATTTCATAACGGCAAGACCCAATTTATTTCAATTTTAAAAATGAACCCGCAATTGCGTGTTTACGAACCACATACTTAGCAGCAACTAGCCAAATCTTGAGAGGAAAACTCACACGCACACAATCAACTTGCACTTGTCGATGAAGCTTCTACTTTCTTGTGACTTGCACGTTGTGCGTTTTTTTCTTTTTTTGCACGAAGGACGTTTTTATGTTTTTCCACGCTATACAAAAACACAAATGAACAACCGCGCGAAGTCCTGTACGCTCCTCCTTGTCCGCACAGTATGCATATCTATCGTGTGACACCGAAAAGAGCGAGAGAGGAAGGGGGCCACGCAGTTTCTCGCGTGCTCTCTCCCGCGTTTTCTCCGTCGCCTTGGTCGTCTGCTACAATCCGTACTGCATACCTAGACTTCCCAGCATTCCCTTCGGCGCCGCGGAAAGCGCTGCACGTTTTACAGCGGGTCAATATACCCTTTTCAAAAGTGCGCGCCGCCTACTCGCTGCTGCACGGATTATCCAAATGCGCCATCGTGTGGGCACGGACTCTGAGCATGCCTTGAATACGAGGGTTGCATGAGCCTTCGGCAAGGACTCGTATCCAATCGCAAGCTTCGTGCCCCCCAAAAATGACAACCGCCAATGCTGCGCGACGAGCTATTGAAAAGGGTATATTGCCCGCTCAATATCAGAGACACAAGACAACACTTTTCGAAGAAGAATGTACTAATTTGCTGTCTGGGAGTCTGTACTTCGTTTCACTTTAAGTCCGACCGCCGTTGACGCTACCATCCGACGGAGCCGATCAAGCGGCGCTATAAGTGCCTCGTCATGGCACTCGTCGTCATTGCGCGTGTGCTATATCTGCAGCTATATACCAATCACGCACAGTTAAAGCGGCATGATGCTGCGCTTTTTTTTTTTACGAGTGATTGGTTTAGCTGGTCCTAGCAAACGCGCAAAGACGACCAGCGGCATGATGATGCACCCTTGGATCGAGCTGCTTGATCACCTCCTCCTGATCCTAGCGTTGACTGCGGTCGGGCTTGATCGCCAGACGGAGTACGCTGACTCCCACACCGGATATTTGTTTCAGGATGCTGGTCGCGATCCGGTATACAAAGCTGCTTCCAATGACAAACTGCCTTTGGGAATAAAGCGACCTTTCGCGTAGCCGTCAACTTCCGACCGGATGCCTCGGAGCCTGGTGTACAGGGAGCAGTAAACTTCAGCATCCTGGGTTCAAACAATCGCGCATCCTGCCGCATTCGATGCGAATACAGGGGCTGTATAGGTAGTACACTCGGCGAGAAAGTGGGCGAGATCGCCGACTTTCTTGCCGAGTGTCAGAAGCCCCTGACCTTCAATAGACCTTTCCGGACAATCCCATGAGACATCTATAGTGAACCCCACCTTGCACCTTCCACGTATGCATCAAACATGTCTGCAAAAAAAAAAAAAAATTGTATGACAAGTGTGACAAGTCATACAAGAAAGAAACATGCCTAGGACAATGTTTGCAGACTGCCTTTTGCACGATGGGTACCCGGGTGTGACCACGGCTTTCGTTTTCGCTGGAAGGCTTCACCACATGTCCGATACTCCTGCCAGACTGCAAATTTTCATGTGATTTCCATCGAATGTTATATTAAGGGGTAGGCGGATGAACTTGCGATCCTGACTACGAGCGTCGCGTCAGCGCGGAGCCGCGCTGACGTAGATCTCCCAGGGGAGTGAGGGAGCGTTTGCTCGGTCTTCACAAACATTTCCCGCTTCCTCTTGGCGTGGTCTTTCTTTGCAATTGGATGTGTTTTATTACTTGTAACTCGCGCTGTTGCGCATGTCGTCCGAGGCACCCGAAAGAAAACTTCGAAATGGGTCAATGCCGTCTACAAGCAGCTCGTTCCTCTCATACGCTCTAAGAAAAAATGAACGAAAATAGTAGCAGCGGCGCGTCTTCCTCCCTTCTACTAACGCGCCTCCAAGCGGACGCGAGAAGAAGGGAGGAACGAGACGTTTTTCTCCTTCTCCAGGCAGACGGGTGAAAATTTTCGCCCTCCCGACTAAAGGCCCGTTCACACTCTTGCGACTGCTTGCGACCTCTTAAACCTGGGTTCCTTAAAACTTCTTAAACCAGAGAACACACTGGCGCCATCTATTGGGAAGCAGTGTAAACTCGGCGGTCCGGCATATTTTTTTTTTATTTCTCGCGCAATATCCTTTCTTTTTTGGCTCGAAAAACTTTTGTCAATGTTATAAACGAGCCTTTCTATGGGTATTACGCACATTTGACCTCGGAAATCCCGCAAAACCTTCGCTTTTGTGAAATGCAGTTCTAGGGTCACCGCATAGATGGCGCCACAATGTCAGTGTGTTCCCTCATTCTAGAAACATTTAAGAAGTTGTAAGAGATCTCGTCTCTCTCAGTCGTACTCGGTCGCAAGAGTGTGAACGGGCCTTTACCTTCTTTCGGTTGCGTTTTTCGAGCACGTCGCGCACGTTGTTTAATCAATGTTGTTGAGTTGAATGATCTTCAGCGGCAGCGAAGCCCGCCAGTAATTCCGTCTTCTGGTCCAAACGCGCAAAACATTTCGGTTGCATTGACGTTTTTACCCCTAATTTTATCGAACGAGCAAACAAAGCCGCTAGAAACAGCGAAGTTCCGGAGCAGTGCCAGCAGGGCTACGTACACTGGGTAAGATGGCCGTCTGCAGATTGCGGGACCCACGCGGCTGCGTATTTTCGGCACCGATTTGTTGTCCAGGGGCGTGGCCATTGACGTCACGGACGTCAAAACAACTTCCTTTAATTTAGTCACTTTTGACGTCACAATAATCACTGTTATTTTGACAACAACACGATTTATTTTGGATGCCCCTGACTGCATTTTGAAATGTCAATCGCTCGGCGTGTGTGTGGTTGGGTGCTCAGCAGCTCGGCGGTGTCCGCGCTGGTGCGTGTTGTCGACGTGCCGCCTGCACTCGTCGCGTTCTCAGGAACATCATGATAAGCTTTCTCCATTTTCAAACTTCTTCCGGTGCCGTCCGTCACTCCTGTTGCAAATGAAGATCAAGTGTACCGGAGGCGAACGAGCCCAGCCGCAGTAATGGACCTTTTCCGAGAAGCGTTCTGCGCACGCGCGAGCGCCCGATGCCAAGCGGTGGAAGTCGGCACGAAAAAATCGAGGAAATTCGGAATGAGGCTGTAAATCGACGAGTAGGACACGTAATTGCAGCATATATATAATTGTGTTACACAAAA